GCAGTTGCTTATACTTTCAAATACATTTTTCTCGAAAATGGTGAACTTTCGGACCACCAAACTTTCACCTAATTTTCTTGTTTTGTAGTTCCTTATCACCTCCTGCAAGCTTAATACTTATTTCAGAAACACCCAGTATAACAACTAAGTATGTACAATGTACTCAACTCCTCATTATCGAGTCAATTATTATTAAATGCGATTCGCTGTGAATTATGTTTTAAATTTAGGGTTACTGGAAATCAGCCAATAGGTAATTATAAACTCGACGGTCTCCGTTCTAAAAGTCCTGAAGCAATTCAATGCACGAAATTACATTAAAAATTTTAGTACCCCATAAAAATTGTAATAAAATCGCCTACATCTCTGAAACCGACTGGAAAGCTGCAACTATTTAAAAGTAAACTGCTGTAATAGAGGTTATACGTTGTTGCAAAATCGTATATAATGATCTATCATGATAGAAGAACGAGAATGCAGATTCGATTTTACTGCTACACATGACTACATGTGTCTGTACCAAAGATTAGGACTACAAAACAGATATTGCTCAATTCATTGTAGCTTAACTAAAAATCTGAATTTAACAACACTTCTTACTGTTCCTTACAAAATGTGTTTTTAAACAAGTACATATAAATTTTTTTTAACAGAAATGCAATGTTCGATTTCCTAAAATAAGCACAGTTGCCACATTCCGATCATTTAGGGATAATTCCATAATTTGTTTAGTCTAAGTAAACTAACCCTAAAGTTGACAAAAACAAATTTTGTCGTATCCTCCTTTTTTGTCGTATCCTTCTTTCAGATTCTATCCTACTTTCAGGTTCATAATGAAAATTTACTGCGCAATGGCGTCGCTCAATTGCATGCACCCGTGAATTAACGACAAAGTAGCTATACCCTCCGAAAAAAAAAAACGAAACTTAATAGTCCAATCAGTAGAGAATATTCCCGACATAAATTTGTTGCCGGATGGAAGTTGTTTCCTGTTGTAGATGGGGAAAAATTAATCATCCCTATAAAGTGTGCGTTAACGAATGGGGAGATCCAAAGTTGGCAAAAAGGAGGTTTTAAGATCTAGAAGGCAACGTATACCTGTTAGAAAGAAAAATATTAAATAGACGTTGTAGAGAAATTAAAAACCTTTAATTTCAGCCGCGGCACGATCAATTTTGTCAATTAGTTATTGCACAAATCCCAAAAAATCGTCAAAAATTGCCATTTCTTGTATATTGATTACACAAGTCTGCGAAATTGTTTTTTGAAAAGTTTTTTTCTTAAATTGTTAATGTTTGTCGTAATTGTCTTAAAAGTAATAGAAAACGATATTCATATGGTGTATACCACGTCACATTAACCCATAAATGCTCAGAGAACACATTTCCATTTGAACCCTTCCCTCGTAACGAGTGCGACGAAACAATATTCGATAACCAGTGTTTATATGTTTTTAGCGATGCTCTTTTCGATGGTGTTAGTTAAAATTGCCTCAGACAATATTAAAGCATGGAAAGACCGAAAATAAACAAAAAAACGTGATTTTTGAATTGACTTTTTTCTTAAAAAGTAATTCTTTGTGTCCTTATGACTTTTTTATATGCTTAAAACCTATGTAGATCATAACCTCGCTATCCAAACATAAAATAATCACCGTTGGTCAAGTCGAAATGCCTTTACAAACTGTTTGATCAAACCAAGTTTAATGTAAAGTGGTGGAAGTAATATTTTTTCAGGATCTTTCAAACTCGTATCAATTGACAGTTTTCACTCCTACTTCCAATTGCATTCTAATTTGAAGATAGAAATACTGAATAACAATGATTTTGATTTACTAAAAGTCCACTGTATTAACACTTCAATACATAATCGGCATATTTTATCGTAACCTAGTTTATCTTGGTGACACAACTTCATTTTAAAGTAAGCATTTTTTACAAAATCTGTTATATTCAATCTTTGTTTAACTATTGTATATTATCTGCAAATGTAAAAAATACATTTGAATTATTTTTATAACTCCGAGTAGCCATAGTTAAAGATAAATAAAACACAATCTTTTATTACACGTTAATATTATATCTCTCTCAATATTGGCGCGCTATAAACTATTTTTTTTTTCAGGCGGTGTAAACGACTATAGTTACTTTCAGAATATCTAAAATAATGTAAAAGATCATTTAATGCTCAGTCAGAGAATATTAAATAGAAATATAAACTATCAAATGAATTTTGTGAAAAAACAAATAAATTTGCCGACTCAAAGAGCCATATATATATATACTAATCTACATACAAAAAAAATGTGGCTTGATACGTTAAAACAAAGTTTATATTTGCAAATTATAGACCAATATTCACATGCTTAAGATAAATTTATACAAAAAACTTTTTTATCGCAGACCTGTGTTATTGATGTAGTGTATGTTTAGAGCGAAACATC